GGCTAGTATTCCAAAGGTTGTAGGTTCGATTCCTATTCGACTTTTCCGCTTTGCTCGTGGACAACCTTAATTGAAATACTAAGCTGTATACTTGAACCGTCCTGACCACGTAGCTCAGTTGGCAGGGCATTGGGCTAGTATTCCCACCGTGGTCAGGCATATTTTTCAAGCTTGCCCGGTGTGGATATACACTCAGAGTAACATCACAAACATCATATTCACCTGAGTACATAACACCAACACAGAAAAAATAATGATGAGCTGAAATTTGCATCGCGGGACCAAATCGTCGGGCTGGATACGCCACTGTTGTAGGTTACGAGAACATGAATAATCTGTATCAACGAATTTGGGCATATAGCGAAGTTTGTTTGATATTCCCCTGTGCATTAACATAGCAAACAGACTGATCATTCAAGACGAGCTATGAATGGTTACCACTTTTTCAATTTTGTATACTAAAGAACTTTATCAATTGTACACTTCAGTAACAAAAATGAAAGTTAACTGTTGCGTTTGAGTCAAATTTTACCTTTGATCTATCTTTTGATCTTTTTCAAGGGAAGCTGTATAGTAGCGCATACATTTCATCATGGGAGGTGCACACCTCCCAACACGTACTTTCCCTCAAAATCTGGCCGTCTCTGAAACATTTACCTCTGGGACATTTCTAAACAGAATAAGTCAACTTTTTGTCCACTTTAGGAGCATTATAAACATTGCCTTCTTGTCAAGGCAAAATGTCCCAGTGATGGATGCAATGTGAAAATGCTCAAACAAAACCTTGGACAACACATCAAAGAAGAATGTCAATTTAAGAAGCAGCCACAACCGATTATGGAGGTATTTTTCTAATTATGGCTAATTGTGGATCTAAACATGTTTATGAAAATTGCGGATGGATAGGGATGCAAGTGTATCTGAAAATACAAGGAGAACGTCGACGTTTCGAGCGAAGGCCCTTTGTCGGGACTAGTAGTGACGGAGGGTTTTCGCTCGGAACGTCGAAGTTCTCCTTGTATTTTTCAGATAGTTGTATCGTTATCAATCTGGCACAGACTGTTAAACATGTTTATGTCTTTTGCCAGCCAGTTAGCTCCCATACCTAGTTTAAATGCTCGATTACCTTTGTTCCACTTCATACTTTCATTCTCTCCACAAGTGCCTTGAACTGACATCACATTT